TACAGTTCGCGACCGCAACAAAGGATACAGTCCTAGGTGCTATGGCTGTGGGGAAAAGGGCCACCTTCGATCCAGCTGCCCTAAGCGAACCGCAGAAGGGGAAAGTGAACGATATCAGGAGGGTAGTGCAGCTAACGGCCCTGCCTGGCGGCGACAGGATCATCGTTCACCTCACGCTAGGGAGGTTGCAGCAGTTACGGTTCGCGACCACAATAAAGGATACAGCCCTAGGTGCTATGGCTGTGGGGAAAGGGGCCATCTTCGGTCCAGCTGCCATAAGCACACCCTAGGAAGGGAAGGTGAACGGTCTCAGAAAGGAAGTGCGGCTAACAGCACCGCCCAGCAGCAGCAGGAATACGACTTTACTATCAGACACTGCAGCGGGAAATCTCACGGTAACGCAGATGTATTGTCAAGAAGACCTTGTCCTGAAGATGGCAACCATTGTAGTAGGCAAGGTAAGGAAGTGGTATCCGTGAGGATGCTCAGGACAGACCACCTCAGCAAAGGGTGAAAGGACAGCCTACGACATGCACAGCAGGAAGATCCGGACATCAAGCCGATTCTGGGATGTATGAAGGCCCGTGCTACCAAGCCTAAGTGGAGGGACGTCTCAGCGATGAGTTCAACCACGAAAAGCTTTTGGGCCCAATGGGACAGCTTGCTGCTTCAGGATGGAGTCCTGTGCCGTAAATGGGACAATGGTCGAGGAGACAGCTGTCGTTTGCAAATGGTTGTCCCTAAAGCTAAAGTGCCGAATGTTCTACAGCTGTGCCATAATGGTCGTTCAAGAGTCCATCTGGGAGTTAAACGATCTTTACTGAAGGTTCGAGAACAGTTTTACTGGGTCCATTATCGTGACGATGTCGAGGATTGGTGTCGTACATGTTCAAGTTGTGCGGCTGTGAGGGGACCTCAGACACGGAGTAGAGGAGCATCGAAATTGTACAATGTTGTTGCACCACGGGATAGGACATCCCTTGACATTGCGGAGCCGTTACAGAAAGGCGCAAAGGGGACTCCTAAGATCGTCCATGTGGATCGCTTGGCGCGTTATTATGGGTCCGATAATGCTCGGGACGAGCATGTCTTAGGAGGGGGCAGTGTTACGCGCCAAAGTCGACGGCACTAGCGCCATCTGGTGTCGAACCGAAGAACTAAACTTCTTGAAGTCGAAACTCGAACTCTCGGTACCCTGCGCGTATTTACTCGAATATTCTGGATATTTCGCTGCTAATTTATATAAATAGGCGCTGCAAGATGCGGTCGGGAAGTATTGAATTTGGCGAGACAAGCGAAGCTTCGGAGCGGAATAAAGTGAATCAGTGTGATTAATTATTAGTGTTTTTAACTTTAATTAGTGTAAAGTGAATTAAATTGTTAATTTAGGTAATTCTATTGGCAATTTTTATTGTCACGAAACTCAAGCTCGTAACAATATTAACTATTTGGGACGAGTAGATTTTGCGAAATCTCAAAAGTAAAAATTTTGAAAAACTTTTTTTTTAATAACCTTTAAACGGCTTTACCGATCGATTACAAAAACTAATCAGCTCTTAACCTCAAAAAATGACGTCACATGCCGTTTGGAAAATAAAAATCGGTTTATTCGTTCGTGAGATATCGAAGGTGAAAGAATTTGAAAAAAGCGTTTTTTTTTTTAATACATAACATAAGTTTCGCAACATAATTTGGTAAAATTTGGAGCGCTTTGCATTTGAAATTAGCGGGAAGTTCTAGAGATGGCCTGCAGGGTCAACAAAGTTTTGTTGTTGGCCCTTAAAACTGGTATTTATGGTTAACCATACAAAATTACAGGTCTTTAGGACACCAATAGTCTCTGTACTAAGCCGCAGACAAACGGACAGACTGACAGACTTGCCGAAACTATGAGTGTTCCTTGTTGTGTTACTACTGAACCCTAAAAAAAGTTGCTACGCTGACCAACAAAATATATAATTTTATTTGTTCGAGTGCAATTTGCTAATGCTTGTGAGTTTTTCTCTTTTTCTTAGGGAAACTAGCGATATAAAATATCGATATGGTAGCATCGCAATTGATTTGTCCGTCTTACACTCGTAACTTTTTCTACTCTTCCATTGGGTTGAATGGTCTAAGCATACTCTATAGTCTTTAGTATGCGAGAGAATGAGATAGAATATAGTGTAGATCGCGAACTCAAAAGTTTGGGGATTTGAATCCGCTATACAACTACTGTTTTTTGTCTTTTAAAACAAATGCAGTTACTAGTATTTTTAAGGCGTTTCCCCTAGCGAACGACCTTGAGCGTTCAGTCCTATACAATCCACGCGCTCTCGCTACAATAAATCGCGAAAAAGTACGCCCGCATTTTAGGAATTATTTCAATTAAAAAAGAAAAGCGAACTTAAGAAATTAAATAAAACGTGAATAATATAGATTTTTAAATTATCCATCCATTAGTGTAATCCTCAAATGACTAGAGCGTTAGAACAAATTTATTTAATAAATAAAATAACCGTATTAAATAAAGTTATACTAATATACTATTCAATTTATAAACATCCACGGTTATAAAGGGTGTCTCAGCGCCGATTTTAAACTTTGAATATTTATATAAAAAAAACAATTGTGTTTATAATATTTTAATTGTAGTAAATTATAGTACATTAGTGCGAATTTTATGTACGGAATATTACACCGTCAAGATGTCTTCCATCACGACGAATGCACTCTTCAAAGCGGATTAACGAATTTGCAGAAACACGCTGCAGAACGTCAATTGATATGGCCCTCACTTCTGTCGTTATTTTAGTCTTCAGCTGCTCTAAATTCATAAGAGGGGTATCAAAAACTCTTGCTTTAAGATAACCCCATAAAAAAAAGTCAGCTGGGGTTAAGTCGGGAGATCTGGGTGGCCACAATATGTCTCCAAAGCGGCTTATGATTTTTCCCGGAAACAAGGCTTTTAGTGTGTCCATGGAGACCCTAGCTGTGTGGGCTGTGGCCCCATCTTGCTGAAACCATACACCGGACTCATCAACATCCTCTTATTGCAGCTGCGGTACAAAAAAGTTATTAATCATGTCGATATACCGCTCGCTCGTCACTGTAACCGTTGCACCTCGATCATTCTCGAAGAAAAATGATTTCGTCGGCCCGATGATTTTCTTCGCCGATATTGCGCACCATACAGTAACTTTGGGGCTGTGTAATGCCTTCTGATGTTTTTGTTTTGGATTGCTGGGTGACCAGTGACGGCAATTTTGGCGATTGACGTACCCTTCGAGGTGAAAGTGTGACTCATCGCTAAATCACATTGTACATCCCATTTTGCTCTGAAAAAATCCCTAACATCTTCTGACAGAAAATTTTTCGCTTCTTATAGTCTTCTGGTTTGATTTTTTGAACTATTTGGATTTTATAGGGATGTAATTTTAAGTCTAAGGCCAAAATTCGTTGAATACTTGAACGATGAAGATTCAAAGAGGCAGCATGTTTTCTAACTGATCGTCGTGGATGCTCCGCGACCGCAGCGGCGACGCGGTCGATGTTTTCAATCGATCGAACAGGTCTAATTCGAGGGCCAATTGAATGTTTCATTAAACATCCTGTCGCTCTGAACTTTTTTACCCACGACTTAATTAACTGAATACTCGGGGCATCACTTAAACGGCGGATTTCATAGCGATTACAAAACTTGCGCTGTGCTTCCCTCAGCGAAAACTCGTTGCAAAAATACGCCTCTACTGCGTACGCGCGGTGCGCGCCAGACCACTGGGACATACACATAGCGACTAAAAAGCCCGCACTAATCACCTACCGAACGCTACCTCTCCCCTCCCGCTAACCCCGCCGGTTGCCGAGAAATTGGTATTTAAAGTTTAAAATCAGCGCTGAGACACCTTTTATAACTTCAGGCTATCTAGCGTCTATCTTACGTTACGTTTTATCATATATTTTATGCCGCATTTGTGGTTGAAAATGATCACATTAAATAAATCATTTGTCTTGAAATATTTTTAATTTATATTTTATTTTATTTGAAGGTTTCTACTTTTACCGTGTGTAAAATAAAATTAATTTACAATATATTATTTTGTAAAATTAGATCACTTCATTCCTAGACGTTATTTTCAATCATGTACTTTTTATTAGTATAACAAAGGTAGTAGAGTAAAAAAGGTTTTTTTTGAAATAAAATGTTTAAATTTTTTGATAGATAAATCCTGCATCATATTTTCTTTGACTTTCTTGTGCAGGTGGAAACATCGCCTCTTGATGGCATTACTGACTCTTTGGAGTCGAGTGACTGATGTAACTAACTTGTGATGGTTTCCAGTGTTTATAGCATGTACACAATTTTTAATAAAATTATATTTTGTGCTAATACTTATTTTTTTTAAATATACTGAGAGGACAAAGTATATATGTATATATATATATATATATATATATATATATATATATATATATATTTCTTTAAATATTTCTCTAAGAGGTTATAAAATAGTCTTATGGCTTTCTTATGCAAAACTTAGATAGTGTCATTGTCAGTCGGCTTACTCCGTAGAAATATTTTATTATAGGTAACACTTATGTCACTTTCATTCAACTTTTAAGCAGTTTGGGGGAGAGTAACGACTCGAATAGTTAAGTATGCAGTGTAAAAAAAACTACAAGAAGACAAACCTATCGTCTCTCAAAAATTTACTTATTAGCTGAATTCTACACGGAACCTTTCATTTAGCCAAAACAAAAAGAATGTTGCAGAATTACTTTCAGTTTTAATAGTTTTACTCAATTTTACTTATGTTACGTTATGGTTTAGATAGTCTTCGTATGTTTGTTGAAAGGATTTTGGCTTATCCCGAAACCACTTATTTAAACGGTATATAATAATAATTTTATACCGTTCACATTTTCATTGGCTTAGGGTCTTAACGACTTGAAATCCGGTCATTATATATCTAGTAGTTTGTTTAATGAATGAGATGAAAGCAAGCGTGTGATGGGACAGGATGCGGTTCGCGGAGGTGGTGGTGCTGGGCGAGGTGCGGGCGAGCGCGCCGTTGCAGCGCGTGCGCCTCGCCAGCCTTGACCCGCTGCGCGCAGCCCGCGACCCGTACGTACGCACACGCGCACGCATCAACTCGCACGCACTCACATGCACAACACGCACACGCTCTTATTTGCATCCACACACACGAAATTAACAAATATACTAGCTAAGAAATTATATAATTCTTTTTCTATAGAACAAGAACTGACAAACGAGCACACAGTCCACCTGATGATAAGTGAAGCAATTAGAAATCAAAGTGCAGATGCGTTACTTACGAACTAAAATGGAATGCCTCGTTTCCAGTAAAAAGAATCTGCAGTTCTCTACACTCACCACACTAAACATTAAGCTGCTATTTAACGCCACTCCCTACAGATATAGAAACCCATGTCCAGCAGCATTTTTGTGGGCTAATGTATTGTAACTATAAAAATAACCGTATTACAGACTCAAAACTAATACTGATAACGAAGTCTACTGTTGAGATTCTATCGCTGGTTTATTTATGAAATATATTTTTAATCAATCATACGAGATTTCACGAAAAATATCTACATTTTGATTCTTAATCGAGCATAAATGTATATGTCTATGGACCACAGTATCCATTTACCATCAGTTAGATTGTGTTCTTGCTTGGCAACTTATTTCTAAAAAAAAAGAAGTATTTCATACTTAGAAAAAAAAAGCATCCGTATCATTATTCTGGCGAGTTTCTGGTTTGGATTATTTCGGTCCCACAAAGTCCAATTAAGACTGTTGTATGTTCTGTACAAAGAATACGAAGTGGTTAGCGCAGGCTGGAGCGGCGGCTGCGCGACATGGACGCGGCGCTGACGCCGTGGCCGCGGTTCGTGTACGACGCGTTCGACTTCCGACGCATGCGCGACCTCATTTGCGACTACTTCAAATCCATCAAGCTTGGTAACTCATTTTACACATTTGTCTTATCTATAAGTTTAATAAATATATACTCCTAAAAACAAACAAAACTTTAATAGAATATAATTAACTCAACATTTATAAAGTTGTAGCTTTTGCCCCGCGGTACTAGCCGCGTTCCAGTTGTAAGCTCCACACTCACGACGACAGACATTCATGACTCACGCTTATTATAAGTTCGCATAATGCTCGAAAAGCTCAAGCTGAAATGGAAACTTTCTCCTAATTCGGATTGATTTTAAGTTAAACTAAGGTCTTTCGAATAGTAAAAACCACCCTAATAATTTTTTACTTCGTACTCCAGCACATTTATCCTCCTACTTGGGACTAATATTTCCCATCTTCTATTCTCCCCATCATAGTACTCTCCTCAACTATCATCATCTTGTGGTTTTACATTTATTCTTATCCGTCCAGCGGCTCGGAAAGTGCGTCTTAATACAATATTTTTCATGCATACTTTGTACCCATGTTTTAAATCCTTCAAAGGCAAATTTTTAAAAGTATAAAAAAGCACATTTTACTATTTTATAATTCATGAGTATTTGCATCAGTTTTTAAATTGAAAAAAAAAAACTTTCATGCAAATTTGAACAGCCTCTGACTCCATAACCACCCATTGTTTTGATAAATTGGACGTATTCTTTTATATTATTTTCAGAGTAAGTTCAGTAAGTTTCGAGTGGAACGCTCCATAGAACGAAAAGTTTTAAACAAATTTCATCCCCTAAACTCTGAGTTACGCTGTGGGGTCACACTTGCTTGTATGTCACTTAAGAGAAGTAAATGACGTATTCACTGTCGAATAGTTTGTTGCAGATGTTTTTACAAATATAATGAGAGGTGTGATTTGACTTTACCAAAAACGACATGACCTTTTTATAAGTTCATTACATCTACATTATAATATGTAATAGTAAACAAAACTTATTTTAAACCTAATATAATGACATAAAACATCCATAAAATTCAGTTACAATCAATAAGTAAATGACACAGTTTTAACACACTTCTTTTAATAACACCATCACCACAATTTAGACTGTAAACTCTTGTAACTCCATCTGGTCCAGGATGTTTGGTAAGTACGCGTCCCAGCATCCACTTTCCAGGAGGCATTTTATCTTGCTCAATGAGAACAATTTCATTGCTATCAAATCAAGGCAGTTAATTTTTGCTTCTAAATATCCCTTAGTTAGACGTGCCTTTGGATACTAAAGCTATCGTGAGTTTTAATAATACGACAGTGTGAATTTTCAAGTTCACTTAAAAATTTTTTCGTGGTTTCGTTAATACGACGGTTAACATTCACTAATAAATTTAATGCAATTTGTTTTGTATAAGCGTCCGGGTTTTGATTATATTTGATTACACCTATCTAGATGCCACATTGTCCGTGAAGAACGGCCCAAATAGTCTACTAAAATTGGTAGACTCGCTTCTCACCTACTTCAGTGTCATTGTCATTTGATTCACTTAGGGATAACGTGCTCACGGAAAATAATTAATTATGCCAGTTTCTGCTGTTAAATTGTGTCGCAATTATGTGAGAAAACCGTATAATAACACCAAGATCACTTTTCATCAATAAGTTTTGGTATTTAACCACTTTTATTGTATGAAAACACGATTTTTTAATTCCTTACTTTGTAGGTTAGTCTGATCAGCCGGTGTTGTCAGTTTATTACTAGGGAGTTTTGACGAAACTATGGGAGACAAAATACAAATATTATTACATCATCTTTCGTTTAGGAGAATATTATTATTTTAAAAATTACTTTAGTTATTTGATCAGTGAACGATAACTTACCTACACAAAATAAATGAAACCCATGACGTCATGCACTAAATAGTATTTTTGTTAGTTTTTTCAAATATGTTTTATATTTTTAAATACAAGAAATTAACGTATTCTACATAATAATTACTTTATTAAACCTATGTTGTTTAACTTTCATCTGATAAAACAAGTATGTAATCAAAGCCTCCGCCCTTTGGTTTCTCCTGGCGAGGTCTCCCATCTGGTTGGATTTTATTTATTAATGTATTTTATTGATTTATTTTATTTTATTGATATATATGTATATTTATCATTTTCATTTATATATTTATAAAAACTAAAACTACATAAATACCAAAACTAACTATATAAATACCAATAAACATGGTACATTAAAAATGACAACTAGTTGTACATAGTCCATATGTTTACCATATCTGAAATGTAAAAATTATTTAACATAATATATCAAATCATTATTTTTGTAAGTAAGCAAGTCAATGTATAAATAATTTATATCAAATTAAATAAAATTAAGTAAAAGTACAATTGTTATGTGAAACATTATCATTTTATAACTAGGCAAATCAAAATAAGTATATATAAAAAAATTAAAATGTCAAATGAGGTGTTAAACGATAGCAGTCACGCATACTTGTGTGTGGAATAAGCACACAAACGCTCGACATCAGACCCGTTGTTTTTGTTGTGAGGCGCCTCATATCAAAGCGTCCGGGCTCTATTGTTCTCCGACTTGATGTTATCGGTGATCTATTCAATAAAAATCCGGCTCGAAGAGCCAAGTATGAACTTCAACTTGTTACGCTGAGGGGTCACACTTATGTACTCATATTATGTCACTTAAGAGAATTAAACAAAGTATTCACTGTCTAATGGTTTATTGGAGACTGTTCTTACAAACATAATGAGAGGTGTAATTTGATTTTACGCGTACAATACAACACTACCCTTTAGGGGTTGCGTTTTCCAATGTCCTTTCTTAGTGGATGCCCACGTAATAAAAGGAAGTTATTGCCCAATTTCGCGTTCTTACGTGCATCGGGTTGGCCTGTGCGTTTTAATAAAATATTTATCAAACCAAACTTTACAGGTTTGTTTGAAAACTTTAAGGGTAAATTTTTAAAAAGATAAAAAACAGATTTAAAAAACTTTTAATAAATTTTCTCTATACAAAAGTAATGGATTATTTTGAAAAATCTTTAAATCCGAATTACAGAGTACCTTTAATAAGTTACGAGTCAATCGCCTTGTAAAATAAAAAGTTTCGTACAAACTGTTACACCTGATTTCACCCCCTTGGGAGTAGAATTTCCCAAAATCCTTTCTTAGTGGTAATGCATACGTTACAAAAGGCAGCTACTATCTAAATTTCAGATTTGTAAGTTAAACGGTTTGGGCGGTGCGTTGATAGATGAGTCAGTCGCTTATGACAAACTGTTCTGTATATCACGTGCCCCAGAGATCAACATCAAGCCGAAAACGGGCAATAGGCCAAATCGTGACAGTTATAAAAAAAAATATTAAAAAAATCTTGGTCATGTATATTTCAAATGGCCAAAATAGTACATTTTTTATAGTACCGTCGGTTAAAGTTGGGTTATATAATTATTTTGAATTCAATGTTGGGCAATTATCTAACATTTTATTTAAAACTGAGGCAATTATGTTTTAACTTTTAACTGTAATTATCAGAAGGGTTATTCATGATTACAAAAAAAACGAAGAGTTAATATTTATAGTCACAGGACTTGAAAGATCATCACGGGATGTCAATTTTTGAGATTCATTTCGATGTCAGTTTTTTTCGCATTTGAGTTTTTGAGATCATTTTTTAGATAATTTAAAAAGTACATCAAGATTTTTTTATATTTTTCTAATAGTTGTCACTGCTTGGCCTATTGCACGTTTTCGGCTTGACCTTGATTTCTGGAACAAGCTGTATAATATTCAAGTTATAATTTACACTCATACTACTATACATATACTAGGCAGTAGTACTTCTTTTCTACCTAAGAGTCGGTACTGAGGTCTCACTAATTTCAGCTATAGCATGTCCTTTGAAGAGTAATCCTTTTGTCAACAATAAAGTATAAATAATTAAGTAAATAAAGGAGCAATGCAATGTGCAGAACGCGTGCCGGAGGAGCCGGTGTCGCTGTCGTTCTGGGTGGCGTCCAATCTGGCGCTGTCGGCGCGCGACCGCCTCGCGCTCTTCACCGTCGACGACGCGCTGCTGCGCTTGCACATGGAGCTGCGCTTCATAGCACGGGTGCGTGCGCATGTTTGTATGTGCGTGTGTGTGTGTGTGTGCGTGCGTGTGTGTGTGTGTGCGTGTGTGTGTGTATGTGCGTGTGTGTGTGCGTGTGTGTGTGTGTGTGTGTGTGTGTGTGTGTGTGTGTGTGTGTGTGTGTGTGTGTGTGTGTCTGTGTGTGTGTGTGTGTGTGTGTGTGTGTGTGTGTGTGTGTGTGTGTGTGTGTGTGTGTGTGTGTGTGGTTGTGTGCGTGTGTGTGTGTGTGTGTGTGTGCGTGCGTGCGTGCGTGCGTGTGTGTGTGTGGCTTTCACTGTGTGGCGCTGTCGGTGCGCTTTTTCTCCTTGAGTCTTTGACCTTTACACTATGTAGTAAAATACAGTAAAGAATACACAAAACGAACAAAAAAATCAGGTAAGAGCATTTGTGAACTCACTCGCATTCAATTCGTTTTTATGATTCATGAAAATACGATTCGTTATTTCGAATCGAGGCTATTGCCTTCTCAATAAATGTGTGCGGTTCGTTGTGCACTGAACACCAATATTTTGTAATCACCGAAAAAATTAAGGACATTTGCAGCAGTTGCTACCGGTGATACTGGCACTGTCAGATTGTTTTATTATTCATCTTCACAATCTTTGAGTATTCAACCAACTGGAGAGGTCATGCAACAAAAATCTGTCACTTTCTGGAGTAGGCAAGGAAAACACACTTGTGTATACTTCACTACTAATGCAAAATTGAATCGCGTCACTAGGTATATACGTTATATATGTGTGTGTGTGTGTGTGTTATGAATAAATATTTTTGTATTTATATACGCACACTACAACACTTGTGTTTGTGTTTATTGCATTTCCGCAACTATCAAATTTTACACGTGTCGCTACACTGGTGTCGTTGTATACATGTTTAGGCAACGTAGGGCGAACATTATGTCGATATTTTTGTCGGTAAACAAATCATCATAGTCCACATTAGTTCAGCGTTTTATATAATAGTATCTTTTTATATTACAAAAATTATAATAAGGAACTTAACTAAAATAATAATTAAAATTATAATACACTCACCGGCACGGAAACTTGGCCAAGCGGTTATCTCGCGATAGCAAAAGCTTTAAGTGTTTCTGATGAATGTTTGTTATGCAAGTATGTCAAAAAATGTTTACCCTCAAGTTCAAGAGGGTAATTCATTATGTTTAAGTGCACCATGACGAATTCTTTAATTTTTAGTTGAATCGGGTCCTTTGAGCGACTAAGTTCACATTTTAAATTTGTGTGTTGTGAAAAGTTTACTGTAAGGTTATTCAATTATTGTGATCTTGTGTCTTAATTAAATAACTAAAGGTGCTTTAAAGCCAATAAAAATGCCATTAACACCAGCACAAGTTGCACAAGCAGTTGCATTAATTGACCAAGGGCTGACACAGCGTGAAGTTGCTATTGTGCTTAACGTACCACGGTCCTCAATGCAGTATTCACTGAAACGATACCAGGAGACAGGCCGCTACACCCGCAGGCCAGGCAGTGGGGGCGTAAGGTGCACATCGGCCCGGGACGATCGTTTTATTGTTATGGAGATTTTGAGAAACCGCTACCTGACCGCTGTTGAGTTACGCCAGCGGCTCCAAATCGCAAGAGGCGTTAATGTTAGTGAGCGTACGGTGAGAAGACGAATGGAGGAAGTGAATTTAAAAGCTCGTAGACCAGCACGAGGTCCAGAACTTCTCAGACAGCACCGAGTAGCCCGACTTCAGTTCGCAAGAGAACATGTCAATTGGACCCACGAGCAATGGGCTAGAGTGTTGTTCACAGATGAGTGTCGAATAGCTTTACGTGCTCCAGACGGTCGAGAACGAGTGTGGAGAAAAAGAGGAGAGAGGTTTCTACCCATTACCACCACCCAAACTGTGAGTTTCCATGGAGGCTCAATAATGGTATGGGGAGGTGTAAGTTCCGACGCACGTACAGAGTTGGTCATCGTCGATAATCGGCTTACAGCTACTCGATACATCGAGGAAGTTCTTCAGGAGCACGTAATGCCTTATTCGGGATTCATTGGACACGACCAATTCCTCCTCATGCACGATAATGCACGCCCGCACGTCGCACATTGTGTAGAGGAATATCTGGAAGAGGTTGGAATACAAAAATTACAGTGGCCAGCTCGTAGCCCGGACTTAAATCCAATTGAGCATGTATGCGGTATGCTCAAAAGAAAGATAAAGTCCAGCTCCAAACCGCCACAAACTCTAAATGAGCTCCGAAATGCAGCGCTGGCCGCTTGGGACAGCATACCGCAAGTTGATGTCAGAAACATCATTCAAAGCATGCCAGATCGAATGCAAGCGGTTATCAGGGCTAGAGGAGGAAACACCCGATATTAAAACTGATAGACAATAAAGAAACAGACTCAATTTTTAACTTTGTAGTGTTTTTAAAGTGACAATGGAAAGATGTTAATTTTAGTGAAAACATGTTATCTTGAAAAGAAAAATTTCGGTGAAGTAAACATTAAATTTCTATGTTCTAAAACCATTAGAGACACTTATTGAATGCATCTACCCTTAATTTACTGTTAAAAAAACGTTTCAGTGCAAATAATCAGCAAATTCACGAGTGGCCAAGTTTCCGTGCCGGTGAGTTTATTTATGATTAAAAATAATTATATACAATATAAAAGAAGAAACTATAATATAGAAAATCTAAAACTAAAAATTTAAATCGGCAAAAAGACCTGCTCCCCATGGTATGGTACCAAGAACGCTGGCTGCGTTTCCTCGCTGAATACCTATACTTAGCCTTTGAGCGAGGAAAGAACCAGCCCTCTTATCACCAGCAGCGACGACCAGTCGTGGATACAGTTCCTTTAGAAACTTCATTGCACGTGGACCCCACGGACCGATAGTCTCTACAGCAAATGGCACAAATATGTAGTCATTTCTCAAAGACTCATATTTGCGTCATTTACTAAATTCGGCTGCCTCTGATGCCGCCCCGGCTCTAAAAGAGGTACCCTTGAGATGAGAGGCCGCCAAAGTGTCGACGCAAGTAACATCCCACACTAGGGCTTTACCTCTCTCCCAAGGGACCAAAGTCATACCGTCGGGTCTCTTGCCATCGTCTCTAAATATCCCGCAAGGCTCTAAAGCCGAGGGCATATTTATAGAGACAAGAGCCCTTTGGATGATTTCGTTCAAAGAACCGCGACGAGAAAACCTACCTGCACTTTTCTTGCATGAAAGTCCGTGGAGCCCAAACTCATCGACGCTGCTACCACAGGGGCACTGGTGAGGTTGACAAATTGCCACTCCTAGCCGGATTCCTACGCCGATGCGCAAGCTTTCCCCATCAAGCAATGTGCCGAGATTACTTGATGGTAGAGCATGTAACCAGTGGCTAGATTCCTTAGTCCAAACAGCTGAAGAAGGCGAGCCTGATCTTGTTGAATATGGAAATTTCGAAATAAATTTTTCTGGATACTCCGTACCAACGGAATATCCCACTGTTTTGTTGGTTAAGTTCCAGTGGGACATTTTCGCCGGGACAGAGCGTTAGCCATGTTTGCTTTGCCTCCGCAGCAAAGCACAGGTCTACTTTATTATTTAAAATTGTGTTACATAGGTCATTGACACTATGCACGGAAGCAAGGAAAGCAGGCGATGCGACGATAGAAATATTTCTTACACCACCACCAAATTTGGTAGGTAAAGTGGCTTGATTCCAGGCTATTGTATTTAATCTCAAATTTAGAATGTTTTCTAAAGCAATTTTAAGATTACTATCAATATCTTTTAAAATATCCGAACATTTCCAGACTGGACTTGAGCGTAACAAGTATGTAAATTTAGGTACAAGGAGGCAATATTTTAAAATGGTAAGGGCAATATGGGGGTTTAAAATTTATAATTTATCAACGTGATTTAAAAATTGATCATTCAGCTTTAGTAAAATTGAATGTCTCATTAAAGTCTCTGTATAGGGACTCGAGTGCTTGTGTTAGAATCAACAGTGTCTACTCGGACTGGTTTGGCATCCCTAAAGGTGCCAGACAGGGCTGTGTAGCTTCCCCGTGGCTGTTCAACCTATTTATGGACAGCTGTTTGGAAAATTTGAAAGTTGAAGAATGCGGTTTAAGAATGGGTGAGTTAACCGTCAAATGCCTTTTGTACGCCGATGATCAAGTCATACTTGCGTCGTCGGCGGCCGAGTTGCAAATGATGGTTACATTAATGAACAGGTCATTAAAAGAAAGGGGAATGAAAGTGAACGCAAGTAAGACGAAGGTTATGGTTTTTGAAAGAGATGAAAGCAAAACGTTATGTGAAACGCTACAACATGGCGACACATTTGCTGGTTTGTTTTCCTCCGTCACCTCTCACGGCACCCACGAGACGTCACACCGCTACAACATGGCGACACATTTGCTGGTTTGTTTTCCTCTGTCTTTTGCCTCTCACGACACCCACGAGACGTCAAAGGGGTTTTGTTGTTTTTTTTTTTCTCTACCACACGAATAGAAGGAGAGTTAATTGAGCAAGTGGATGAGTTCGTATATTTGGGGTGTGTATTCAGCAGGGATGGGAGATATGATAAGGATATTGAACGACGAGTGAATGCAGGAAATAAAGTAAATGGGGCTCTACACTCTATTGTGAAAAGTCAGAATGTGTCAAAAAAGACACGTATGGCAATTCACAATGCTGTATTAGTCCCTACTTTAACGTATGGTAGTGAAAGTTGGATGTGGCAGAAGAAGCACGAGAGTAGAATAAATGCAGTAGAAATGCGGTCGCTAAGGAGTATGTTAGGGCTGAATCTGAGTGACAGGGTGAGAAACTGTGTGATAAAAGAAGAGTGTGGTTTGCAAGATGATGCAGTCACCAGGATTAAGAAAGGAATGCTTCGGTGGTTTGGTCATGTAGAAAGAATGAATGCGGAAAGATGGAAGAGTCGGAAAGAGATGTCCTAGGCGGAAGTTTGTCGACCAAATTGCGATATACTAAAAATGGGCCAAATTAAGAGTACCCTTAACCGACGAGCATGTATGCGTAGGTATATGGATGTGGAAGAGGCGAGAAAGGTATGTCAGGATCGTGCTAAATGGAAGTCTGTAGTCTCTGCCTACCCCTCTGGGTGACAGGCGTGAGTGTTTATGTATATGTATGTACGTTACTACAATTGAAGCCTTTTTATGCTATTGCTTTTTATTTCGAAGCGTCTTTTTATTTTAATTTTCCTTGGGGTACAGTCTGCTCATTTAGATACGGTTGTTTTTGTGCCGCCTCGCCTCAGCACGTGCCGCATTTTGTTTAAGGAGGCGACATTAAAGTTCGTGCTGTAAAGCACCCGAAACGTCTGTAATCAAAAGTCAAAATGAAATGCGATAAAATTCATAAGATTAGTTTCATTTAATGTGTAGTGTTCGCTTAATATAAGTCAATCGTAAACTTATTGAAATTTTAAAATATTTTTAAGACGAATAATATTGGTGTCAAGGGTAATAATAAAAATATTTAATCTATTGATACAATTACAGCTAGACTTTTCCTCCCACAAGTTCAAGGTTGGTACAGCAGTACTGGCAATCCTTTTATTGATAGCTTGGGGTATGAAATATGATTTATCAAAATGTTCGGAGCAAATGCTGCTAGTCCTTTTAGGTATCCAAGATTCATGATTTCTACAAGCTGCAATCCAAGTCTGCCACCTAAGAGGATCTCTTTGAAATATGTAAAGTCGTACCAATAATAGAGTAATTTATTTCTTTTTAGATACAGGTTCAGACCTGTGCGGTTTTCCGCGATCCGCTGCTCGAGAGCCACGAAACAAGACCGAGTACGAGTTTATCGCAGCCAACGGAACAATTGTTTCTACCTATTGTTACTTGCCACTAACAATCGACTTGAGCTTTTGCTTGGCGATTCATCGTAGCCGACGTCTCGAAGCACACCACCGGCGTCCACTTTCTAGGTTACTACAACCTCCTAGTCGATTGCCGAAACCAGTGTCTAATCGATGGTGCAACGTCGCTGACAGTTCCTGTACCGCGCCAGACTTCAACAGAGGCAATCTCATCTGTTCGAACAACTATCGATGATTGCGCTTACCATCGTGACTTCTGAGAGAGTTTCCTGACCTCATTCGTCCTGCTGGTAAGCAAAAGTTAAACAAACATTCAACGGTACAAAACACGCGAACTACTCCGCACCCGGCCGTCCGCGTCGCTTAGACTCTGAGCGCCTGAAGAATGCAAAACAGGAGTTCGAGGAGATGCTACAAAACGGCACAGCGCGCATATCTGATAGCCGTTGGTCTTCGCCGCTGAATTAGCACACAGGAAGAACGATGGCTGGAGACCTTGCGGTGATTACCGTTCATTGAACGTACACACAATCCACATCAGCAGAGATCGGAATCGGGTGTGTGAGAATACCTAAAGTTTCCAGCGAGACATAACATGGAGCTGTTACAACCACTTAAGTTGAATCTGTTTTAAATTTTACCGGTGCATTTTCGTTTTTGTTTTGTATTAAATGTTCCTTATTGCTTTTGCTTTTACAACGCAACGAACGAACTGCTCGCCACGCCGGTTTCATTACCTTGACTTCATCAGCCAGTTTACTACGGACATCAGATATATCGCCGGAAGGTATAATATTGTCGCTGACACTATCCCGCATTTATTACATTACATAGGTTCGTCTGGCCTGGCATTAAGCGTTATTGTATGCAATGGGCAAAGGAGTGCCAGCACTGTCAACGATACAAAGTATCTCGGCACACTTCAGCACCGCTCGCACCATTCATGTTACTGTCAACACGCTTCCGGCATATACATCTTGACCTGCTCGGTCCCTTACCGTCATGTTCTGGGTACAGGTACTGCCTCACTATTGTCGACCGCTTCACTCGTTGGCCTGAGGCGTACCCACTCCAAGACATGACAGCAGAGACGTGCACCATCGCCCTAACCAATGGATGGACTTCAAGCTTCGGATGTCCAGAACATATCACCACAGACCGCGGCGGACAGTTCCTATCGCACACTTTCAAGGACCTTGCCGCGTTGGTCAGTGTAATACACCATACTACCACATTTTAAAACCCAGCTTCCAATGGTCTCGTGGAACAACTGCACTGCCAACTGAAGTCCGCCATCACTTGCTACTCGTCTTCCAGCTGTTCTACCATGGGTCCTCCTCGGTATCCGCAGCGCCTGGAAAGAGGACTTGCAATCGTCCACTCCTTTTGTCTGGACAGTTCTTTTCCCCAAGTTCCAATACTGAGACGGATGCGACCACCGTGGCTTGTCAACTATGCGCATATGTCAGCAGATTGTCTCCACAACCTACGTCTTTGCATGGCAGTTCCAGTCGAATATTTTATTTACCCAAAGACCTTAGGACTTCGACGCATGTCTTTGTACGCCAAGGTCCCGCAAGAAAACCACTCGAAACACCCTAATCATGTCCTTTCAAAGTCGTGATACGTGACTGCAAAACATTCGACGTAGAAATTCAAGACAGGTCACAAAAGATCTCAATGGACTGCCTAAAGCCAGCGTATGTTTCTAGAGAGGCCGCAGAGACCATTCCACAACCGGAGTGACTATGGTCAAACTACAAAAGCGGACGCACGGTGAGGTTTCCGGAAACTATCGCCCGTAGTTGCGGTCTAAGCGGGGGAGTAGTGTAGCGAGTTAATTGGTAGTTTGGACGGACCTTAAGATCACGCCACCACTACGTCATACATCGGGTTGTTTATGAATACGACAATCGGAGCGTAGTTTAAGACAAACACAGCATGATGTAATTTTAATTATCATTAAATATTTCTAGCTTTAAACGCAATGTTCTGAATGCAATGAATGATTTTTTCTGTACTTTCGTCTTATACGTGTATGTCAATAAATATAGTTATTAGTGGTCTGCAGTAATTTAATTGCTAAATACAGCGGCATACGACCCTACTCCTACGCAGGAGTAATAAACGAGTAACTAACTATTATCCTTTTTTTTTTGATATTTTTAATTAAGTTTTTTCTACCTAAATGTAATCAATCACAGACACTGAGAGCACTTATTTTTTTGGTTATTATAAAATATGGGTGTATAAGAGAGGTGTGAAAAGCTGGCGACGATTAAATGTAGCGCACATTATGATCACGGTAGCTGTTAACGAAAGGTATTTGTATACTCTAACCTCGGATTAGAGCACAAATGATCATTCGTGAATTTCGTATATGCTTCATAAAAACATGCATATGGTCGAAAACGAATTAAATACAAGTGAGCGCAGAAACGCTCTGACTAAGATTTTTAATTGAGTTATTGATTTAAAAACAACTGGCTGTCGAACTTCTTTCTACTAAACTGAATCTATAGTTTTTATTTACGGTGCATAAGTATCTAACACCATCACACAATTTCATGTCCCGAAATGCTGAAGAGATCTCTTAACTTTCGATACAAAGTCTTTTTTTTTTTTTTCTTTTTTTTTCATTATACAAAGTTTATATTTTTAAAGGTTTTTTAAAAAAAGACTTTTATTTCGGTAAACTTTGGTGCTTTTTATCGCTGTTTTTATTAAGCGTGAAACATTTTTTTTTTTGTTTTTTTTTTAAGTTTTTTTTTGAAATTTATAAAAAAAAGGAAAAAAATTTTTTTATAAGGGGTTTTTTTTTTTTTTGGACATTTTCGACCAAGCGTGAAACATTTTATACAGCAGCTATGGCCCATTTCCGAAAATGGTCTGTTGCCGAGTCAATAGAAAACATAAATCATCTTCGTGATGATATTTCAAAAAATTGGCTTATGAATCGTGTTTCTTTACAGAAAAGTATTTTATGTTGCTCGTCGTGCATGGCGGAGATCGCGAGGCGGGAAGACATATTTGCAATGTCTAGTGATGGCGTGCACTCCAACTACACCAACTTAGGTAACGTCTGCGTGCGCGTTTAGACTAGTTCAATGTCAGATCACTTATTAAATTGCCGTTTTGTATTTAGAAATTGTAAAAATAAAAACATTCTTGCCACTTTATGAGTATGAAAATTTTACCTGCCTATCAAAAATTAAACTAAACTTCGAAAAAATGGAAGTTTGGTGGAGTAAGGTCTGATTTTAGTTCTGCTAATTTTGCCACGGTCTGTAGTACAGTATGTGGCCGAGGGTTCTCATAAAAAAGCAATGGCCATGTGCAGTTTACCGCTCTGGGTTCCTGCGTGCCTGGGTTTCTTTACTATTTTTATAATACGTTGAAATGAAGTAGTTATCACTTAAATTTTAATGTGGTTAATGTCTCTTTTGTTTGTATGAGTTCATTTTGTTTTGACATCTAATAATATTACTTGTACCAACTTGGTTATAAATTCGTATTAATGTGTTGTAATAAAAGTGTTACGTTGATTATGTACTTATTTAAATTTACTTTTTTGTTTCTTCACGATATAATGCGTGTTGTTTATCATCATCATCATCATTACAACCCTTCATAATTCCGCTACTGAACATAGGCCTCCCCCAATGAACGCCAAAACACGGTTCTGAGCCTCCTGTATCCATCGACTTCCTGCATGTCTTATCAGGTCGACACTACATCTAGAGGGGGGGGGGGTCGCCCTATACTACGTCTTCCGGTACGAAGCTGCCACTCGAGAACCTTTTTACTCCAACGGTTGTCGGTTCTACGAGCTATATGTCCGGCCCATTGGCACTTCAGCTTACTAATCCGTTGGGCTATGTCGGTCACTCTGGTTTTACTGCGGATATCCTCATTCCTAAACCACGCAGAAAAACCCCGAGCATAGCCTTCTTCGTAGCTCACTGAGCGACCTTGAGCGTCCTCATACGGCCGGCAGTGAAGGACCACGTCTCAGATTCGTAAGTCATCACTGGCAACACGCACTGGTTGTACAATTAGGTTTCAGATTTTGGGGTATACCTGACGAGAAGATGTGTCGTAATTTCCCGAACGCTGCTCAGCCGAATTGAATCCGTCGATTGACCTCTCAGTCGAAGTTGGACTTACCTAGTCGGACTTTACAATTTTATAACATTACAATTTTAATCAGTCTTGAATTAATTGCTAAATTTAAGTATTTCCGAAAATTCACCAAATTACGCAGTACTCAAAAGATTCAATGCCGCACTGGTTGGGTGGACAAAGCAAAGCCTGTACTTTTGTCGAGGCATTGCTGTCCTTTCCGTTATTATTTAGTGTAATTTGGAGTTTCCTTTTTTAAATAGTACGGTGCAGGTGAGGGTATATCCCCTATCCCCCTTTCGATAGGTGGCAAAGGTGAAACACCGTTAAGTTTCTGGTGGAGTAATTCTGACATCCAACCGTTCATTGTCCCCACGGGCGGGTATGCGTAGGTAATGAAAGAAAAAGCTGTCTTCGTTCTGACTGTATGTTTGATGTGGTAATTCGCAGGCGGCTACATGCACGACATCGTAACGGTGTCGCGCGCGAGCAACACGCACCTGAGCGGGCGGCCGTCGCGCGAGTACTCGTGGTTCCCGGGCTACGCCTGGACCATCGCCGTGTGCGCGTCCTGCATGGCGCACGTGGGCTGGCGGTCGGTACCTCTGCACCTCCACAGTAGCTGAGCACGAGTACTCGTGGGTCCCGGGCTACGCCTGGACCATCGCCGTGTGCGCGTCCTGCATGGCGCACGTGGGCTGGCGGTCGGTACCTCTGCACCTCCACAGTAGCTGAGCACGAGTACTCGTGGGTCCCGGGCTACGCCTGGACCATCGCCGTGTGCGCGTCCTGCATGACGCTCGTGGGTCCCGGGCTACGCCTGGACCATCGCCGTGTGCGCGTCCTGCATGGCGCACGTGGGCTGGCGGTCGGTACCTCTGCACCTCCACAGTAGCTGAGCACGAGTACTCGTGGGTCCCGGGCTACGCCTGGACCATCGCCGTGTGCGCGTCCTGCATGGCGCACGTGGGCTGGCGGTCGGTACCTCTGCACCTCCACAGTAGCTGAGCACGAGTACTCGTGGGTCCCGGGCTACGCCTGGACCATCGCCGTGTGCGCGTCCTGCATGGCGCACGTGGGCTGGCGGTCGGTACCTCTGCACCTCCACAGTAGCTGAGCACGAGTACTCGTGGGTCCCGGGCTACGCCTGGACCATCGTCGTGTGCGCGTTCTGCATGGCGCACGTGGGCCGGCGGTCGGTACCTCTGCACCTCCACAGTAGCTGAGCACGAGTACTCGTGGGTCCCGGGCTACGCCTGGACCATCGCCGTGTGCACGTCCTGCATGGCGCACGTGGGCTGGCGGTCGGTACCTCTGCACCTCCACAGTAGCTGAGCACGAGTACTCGTGGTTCCCGGGCTACGCCTGGACCATCGCTGTGTGCGCGTCCTGCATGGCGCACGTGGGCTGGCGGTCGGTACCTCTGCAGCTCCACAGCAGCTGAACACGAGTACTCATGGTTCCCGGGCTACGCCTGGACCATCGCACGATGACTTAGGTTGCTACAAATCATTCATGATTCTACTCGGACAATGATTCTTGTCACTTGGTGTCATCATCAGTCGGCGTTAAAGGTCCGAGTGGTTTCGTGTCTAGTTTGGCCATTATGGTAAATTAAATTGCCGGCGACTTGCAAGCTAGGCGAGTGCGCAGCGAGCGCGCAAAATAATCGCGCGAATACCGCCGGTGGCGCCATTTCGTAACAACAATGTTTCCTCGTCAGAATCCATTCTGTTATAATAATATCCTTCAGACCGAATTACGGTAACGGCGACCAGACTCAATGGAAACTAGCCATCGGAGCAGGACAGGATTATAGTGCCCAAGTGTATGCGCAAGCACAAGTGTACTCTCTCTTCCCTCACTCTCATAATCCGATGGGACCTTCGATCAATTATATACTAGATTAAGGATCAGGAACAAAAATAAGTCGCACAAGTGGCCACCTTTGCACACACATAAACATCTATCTTAGAAAAAAGTTTAATAACATTAACAACATCAGTTTATTATAAACCTTAATAACACTCCAACATAAAGTTTAATCACCATTGCAAAATATATTTATTTAAGTCCTTTCATCAGAGAAAGGTTAAAAGTAATAAGTTTAGAATGTCGCTTGAAAATAAAAAGTCATAGGTACAAAAATATTAATTCTAAAATGAAACTTAAACTCATAAGTAATAAGGTTAAAACATTATGTTGACATTTTCGTGCGTACTCTAATTTGGTAGTAGACGTAGTTCTTGGTATTATATTTCAATGCTCCAAACACAGTAAGTATTGAAAGACGTAGAGTTGCAAAATATAAATATTTTGGGGCGAGGGTCGTTTTGTATGATGGCAAATATTTTCGACCGATTTATAAAAGTAGTAGGACTAAGTAGTAGGTATTCAATGAAAGGTCGTCAATTTCTTTTTCAAATACCCGTTTCTAGGAGTGTCACATATCGATGTTAAATCTGATAATGATGCAGCAGGAGACTTCAAGCAAACTGCATCAGCCCGAGGTACGTCAAGTATTTCTGTGGTATCTTCAAAAGTTAAAGTTTATTGAAAACAATTTTAAAGTATTTCATGAAAATTCCTACAGGTATATTTTTTTTCTGATAAAGATAAAGATACCTAATTTGATAACTCTGGTCATTATGAACATAAACCTGATTGCACTTTTATTGGTCCGTGAATCTAAAAAAGTCGTAAATAGCTTACTTTTTTACCAAAAGCATTATCTTACACTAACAATTGTACTACTTTATGGTAATTACCTGCAATTTGGGAACCGCTGTTTTTAGTAATCTACGCCTTTGCGTGTTTCCAGTTATGTCCGTCCAATCTATCAACATCGAACATATTTTCGAATTTTTAGATGGGTTGTATATATAGTTCTCCTCATCTTTCTTTCGCGACAGTAGATACTCATTCTGCACAGCAAAATGGGTCCCTAGGAAATCTACAAACAAAATATATATATATATATATATTAAATAATAATACTACTCCATGCATATTTGTTCAAGAACAGTGTGGTTGCGCGGAAAACCATTCGTATTTATTTATATTTGACGGTAGGCTTGCCAAATCGTTTATCCCTTTCCAAACGATATCATTCATACCCTCCTATCGACACATCGGGGTGGTGGGGTGGGAGGGGAAAGAAGATGATTCTAGAATATTACGCGATCATCGCAACCGAAGGAATAAAATGGCACGCGCGGCCGACGCGCAGTCTCTTCCCGCCGCGCTCGTCGTTGGAACCACACCGCTTAAGACAATAGTGTCATACAAGGGCTATTGCCCACGCGCACCGCTAGTATATCCGCTTTAGTCTGGAAGCAGTCGAGCTCCAGGAAATCCGCCTCACATCGTGTGAGAAATAGTCGCGCACCGCACTCTGCAAGACCGCGACAAGAAAGGCTGGGGCCCCAGAGAGTCTAACCAGAGTGTCTTCCAGAAGTCGCAGCAACATAATGGCCAAGCCGCATAGAAACAACACCCCGTTGAGTCAATATTCCTTACTAGTTACTGCTTGATATAATTGTGTCCGCTCCAATTTATTTTCTCCTAATCAAGCAGGATTCCTTTCATAGATTTGGCAAATAATAGTTCGTTTTAGGGAAGAGCGAGTGCATTGTATGGGAAACCGCGTGCTATAGTCGCCATTTTGGGTAAACGAAGAAGCATTTCGCATATACAGTCCACTTTGGTTAATATCTCGCGTAATAGGTTTAAGGTTCGACCGGGGAATTAGACTTCGGTAACCTTAGGCTCGTCGCTCCACCACAGTGGATGTTTGTTACAACCGTTGTTGCGTTGTAGCAAACATTGGCCAAACAATCATAATATTTGCTAATTGATTCTTTTTGCTATTTAATTCTGTTTTTATTTTAGATAAAGATAAAGATATTTTATTTTGCAAATATGGGTACAGTACATGGAAATATAGGTAGTGAGTTCAGCCATATTTTACCAGTAGGCAAGCAAAATATACAGAAATATAAACTAATCACCTAAACAGCTTTAACAAAATAAAATAATAACACAAAAACAAACATAATTCAAATTTTTAACATTATACAGTCTTAATCTCAAAATGAAAATTTTTTTTCAGTCAAGAATTCTGTTACGCTATAGTATGCTTTGACTGTCAAGAAGCTACGAAGCCTTTTTTTAAATATCGATAGCGGCAATTCTTTCCAACTTTTTGGTATTTTATCATATATGACTGGAGCCATGCAGTATATACTTTTGCGCATTAGTGCTGTCTTAGCGGATTGATGACACAAAAGGGTATTGTCGCGTCTATTACGTGGAACTACTTGGTCAAGGCGTTTAAAACGTTTCGAATGCAATTTAACAAACACTGCTACTTCTAGTATGTATAAGCAAGGTAATGTCAGTATTTTATACTGTTTAAAATATGGTATGCAACTATCGGTAGTTTTGAGCTTAAACATCACCCTTATGCATCTTTTTTGAGCCTTTATGAAAAACACTTAATGATATAAATTTACCGAAAAAAAAAACATTTCTTCCAAAATCTTGGTGTTACGATGGTTATTTGCACAGTTTTTGAACGCGCACTGCGGGATTTTGACGTTTCAACGTTGGCTATGATTGGACCATATTAATTTGAAATAAGATCACAGAAGTGTTTGTGGTCTTATTTTTTTGGCCATTTTTGAAGCGCTTATCGGAAATCTAGTATATTATTGATCGAAGGTTGGGACGGTAAACCGACATGACCGGAGAGAGATCAGGTGCAGGACCAACTGCTTTACGTACTTTCCGAGGCACGGGGGAGAGACACCGCCAACATCCTGACTCCGGGCAGCTATTGAGAATTTCTTGACAGAAAAATTCAATTATCGATTTTTTTACCTGAACCGGGATTTGAACCCAGGACCTCATGATCAGCAGTCGTACTACTACAACAACTAGACCAAGAAGCAGTCAAGCCTTTATGCCCCATTTACATTCAGCCCGTTTGGGCAGGGCAGTGAGCAGGGCAGTATGTAAACAGGCTACTCGCGCTGACACTGCCGCTGCCGCTGACACTGCCCGAAATGTCGGTTTTTCGTGCGGAAGTCAAAGGACGGGCAGCGCGAGCGGCAGTGAGTGTTCACATTCAGCTCCATCGCTCACTTCGCGACAAGCGCCTGGATGAACGGACGTGCGTGCCGTCCTGTTATTAAATAAATACGATCTACCAAAATGCCTTTCGAGTGGATTAATGAAAATACAATAAAGTTTTTAGAACTGCTGGAATCAGAAAAAACTATATGGGATTTCAACGATAAAAACCACAATTCATCATGTTCTACGAATACGAATTTTCTTTTTGAGTTAACATAGTACCTATGTACATAATTAATTATAAATTCGTCAAATTTATTATATTAATATAAAATTTAGTTTAAGGAATTAATGAACATTGACATTTTATTTCTAAAAACGATTAGTAACTCATATTGATTATTTATTAATTAAAATGTAAAATAAGTTAAAAGGTAATATTTGCATAATAGCCTGAGATTTTTAAATTATAATTTTATTGTAATTAAAATTACGAATTAGTTTATGCTGAAGTGTAATTAATAAAATAATAATAGCTTACCTAATCTCATATAATATTTAATATTATTTATGTAACAATAATATAATAATTCAATTAATAATTTATGAACAATTTACTGTATAAGAATTCAAATAGAGTGGATCTGTATAAGTATTTAATTGTACATAATATTTGAATTCAAAAAAGAATGTGTGTACCTAACTTTTAAGCAACATCGGGTTTGTGTAATTAGCTGTATTTCATATCATTTTTCCATGCCAATTATGGCAAAACATGTCAGTTCCACGTCATTGATCATCTTATGTACCATGTTTTTAAGCAAATAAATTTTCTATCTATCTATCTATCTTCTTTTGAACTTGATATCTTTTTTAAATTATTAACATAATTTTGTATTGCAAGAAGACACAGCGCGGACGCTGTAATTATTTCGACGTCCGCCATAGTCGAAAGCCGAAAGCGATGTGAGTGGTAGGGCAGAGTGTGAATACACACTTCCCGCGATCCTGCTACGGCAGTATTTAGGGAAGTATTGCCGGCAGCGCGAGGAGCAGTGGCAGTGGCTGAATGTAAATGGGGCTTTAGTATCATAATCAGAGATCGGAATCGGGTGTGTGAAAATACCTAAAGTTTGCAGCGCGACATAACATGGAACTGTACAACCACTTAAGTTGAACCGGTTTTGAATTTTATTGGTTCAGTTTCGGTTTTTTGTTTTACATCTTCCATACCTTTGAAACACCGAACTATATACATTTACAAGCTGCTAATATAGTTTTAAATTAATTTTTGTTTTAAATTTTCCCGGTTCAAATTCGGTTTTTTAGTTCTACTTGTTCTGTATCTCTGAAACACCGAAGTTTACACATCTGCAAGCGTGTGTAAAATTCGGTGTTTCAAAGATACAAAACAAGTTGAACTAAAAAACCGAATTTGAACCGGGGAAATTTATTGGAGCTCTACAAGTAGTTGTTCTGTGTGGAATTAGAACCCGCTGCTCATGCAACTGCAACTTATTGTTAACCAACCCATTACGCCATGGAGCCGTCAAATTGCATACTTGATTGAACATCCTGATCTGGAACCATTTAGGCTTTATATGACGCACCTCACAGAACTTCTATCTTTTTTAACAAGGAACCATTGAGAACTGTTGCATGTAATATGTTTACATAGTTATATAATATGGCGCAGGTTCGACTGCACGAAACGGAGCCTGCGGCCGCAGCAGTTCTTCGCGCTCTGCCGCAACTACGTGCAGCCGCGCGACCGAGACCACACGCACTACGCAGACCAGCCCGACCAGCCACACCAGCCAGAACAACTCTAGCCTGCACAGCGCATACAGATCAGACCCGACCAGCCGGACTAGCCACACCAGCTCTGTATGCGCAGCCCACACGGACCTGTCACACTAGCCGGACCAACTAGCTTACGTAGTCCTCACAGACCAGCCAGACCAGCATTAGCCAGCGTAACTCAGTTCGTTATCGTCACCAGACCACCGCTGGACATAGCCGGGAAGGTGGCTCTTGCTGCAGCAGGTCGACGCTCCGCCTGATGGCCATCTCACACTCCGCACGCTAGTACTAGGTTACTCAAAAAACTTTTGCACTGGTTGTTACTGGTTCGAACTTTACCACTTAGTAAACCTGTTTGTCCGTGTCGTTACCTTGGATCTGCTGCAGATACTCTTGTTACGGACTTTGTCACACAGAGAAACTTTGATCATTGTCTGTTCTCACATGCGTTATTTGCATTGTATTATATCATATCACAAAAAATAATTGTACTAAATAAAGGATATTATCACCCTGAACTTATCGTACCTTTTATCTGGTATGTTGATTATGGGGCTACCCATCTGGCCGTCTAAAAAGTTATTAGGTTTCATTTTGTACATATGTACTTGTATGATGTAAATATTATAATGAATACTTCTGTTCTGTACAGAAAATACGTAAACAAAAATATACGTGTAGTTTATTACTTTCGACTTAATTTGTTAATTGATATTTTTAAATAAATATAGATGATGTTTTAAAAATATGCCAAAATAATGTTTGCGACTTTGATGAAAACTAATTGAAAAAAGTTATGTTTCTAGGCGTAATCTAACTAAAATCTTACTCTTTTTATATTTTGATATAATCATATTGTTCGCAATAAACTACAAACAAAGAATATGTATGATGACAAATATTCCGTAAATACACGCTACGATTTAATTCAATCAACTAAGTACCATACTTTACGCTTGAACTCACAGACTTGTTAAAAAGTAATATTTGACAAGTATTACAATATATAAATATTTAAGTTTTTATGTAAAACAAAGTCTTAGTAATAAGTAAATAAATGAACGATGAAGATATGTATTTACTTTTATCTCCTTTGAAGAAGAAAACTGGATAATAGGGTATTACACCCATTTTCAAAAAGTGATAATGAACCACTAATTTTATATAATTTTTTTAAACCGAATAACGCCATAAAAATTACTTTTAATCCATCGTTTTAAATTTTCACATGAAAACGCTAGCCGCCATGCTGTTCAACTTGTGACGTCACTGTTCTAGAATTTTGCCGACTTTGCAAAGGAATAAGATACTTTTTAATGTTTAATAATGAGTTTTCATCTATATCATTTGTTGTGCCTGAATGCAAAAATACGAGCATAAGAACTCCGGGAAAGTTATGGATTCAAGTGCCAACTGATTTAAGTATAAGAAATACTTGATTAAAACTGGCAAGAAGACATTCCGAATACATCATTGTCTACAAAAACTAGACTACACTTCTGTGAAGATCATTTTGATGTATGATTAATATTCAACTATTGTTTAATACAAAACAAAACATCATGACCCTCGCAAGTCAAATTTTGTAATAAATTAAGTTATCTTAGATATTTTGACAAATTATTCCTAATGATTGTAATTATAAATAAACTGATAGCTACTAAACTAGGTATTTTCAAAGTACACTCTGACCTTGTTTTGTGTTTTTGTATCTATAAAAGTTGGTTATAGGTACTTACATGATGTTTTAACATTCCTCAACTCAGCAGGACAAAAATTGGGATTGCATGCAAAAAAAATTTGCTACCATCAATTTATTTATTCTAGGTAGATTAGTACTTTCTGCTATTAAGAATACGTCTTTCATGATGCCTTTTCAATAAAATACGGAATAAAACTCAATAATGGTAATTATAACTTGAAAATTTTCGAAATAACACAGCACGTTAGCTAGTTCGCTTAATCAATCAAGTCACGACATTCTCTTATGGTGGATAGCGTTTTGCAGATTTGATAGGTATACGAAGAAAAAAAATTTCCTAAAATTGAGATATTTAATTTATAATTCATTTTTATACATAGAAATCAATATGGCACGTTTACTTTTTACAAAATCTATCATAAATATACATTTTTTGATTTTTTACATGGTGTAAATACCCTGTTAGCTCTCAAAACCTTTTGTCTAAACAGGATTCGAACTTTTCTTACATGTGAATCTTGGAGCTTGTTTACTCGAAAGAACGTGAATATAATATTTTTATAGACGCTCTTGAATTGATAAAGTTGTTGTTTACTGCTCTTGGTGTTTTTGAATTCCGGGCGTTTTGGCTTTCGGCCCTGCCTTGTATTGAGGATAGATGCTTCCTTCTCTGGCAAATTAATAAATTCTTGTATTTAGAGTAGAGGTTTCTTTGGTTTGTTCTGTGGATAAAATACTTAGGTCTACTTTTTTCGATGTGTCAGGAAGTGATTGATCTGCTTGCTTCGATATGCTAAGCGTCGAGCTTATATTATCATGTACTGCATTAATAGCAGCAGCTGAAATATATTCATCGTAATCTTGAACCGCAATAGACGCTGGTTGAAGAATTTCAGCTGCAAGAAAGTTTCCTTCTGAAAATAATTCGTAATTAATTTAAAATGAAATAACCTTGTTGCTCAGTTAGCTGCACAACTTTTTCCAAACTAACGGTAGACCAGGAAGTCTTTTCAGGAAGACCCGTACTTTCGGCATCTACTTACTACAAAACAAAAAAGCGGTATTCAATACATGATGCTAATTTCCTACTTTACTTTGCCGGCAATGACGGATGATAGCTGACTCCCATTGCCTGCAACTACACTAATGAGTGAAAAATCAGAAATTACAAAAATTAAATTATTACCTAGTATTCAAGGGTTACTGAACATCACTGATTTGAATGTCAGACTAATTACACAAAAAGTCTCTTTTAGATACTTTATGAAATTCGAGACTTAGGTACCGTTTGTTTTCAAACGCAAACACAAAACGCAGTCATAACTCCGAAACGCGCGGCGGTTACTGGTGGAAGTCGTCCGAAACAGTGGTGGGGGGCACGGAACAGGGGCGTTGAGGTCATTTACGTGACTCGTAGATCGCGGATGTTTAGTTTTGCAGATGAGTAGGTGATCACCATTACCCGCTGACACCCATTGCCCGCTCTTACCCTACCTAGTTACTGACTCCATAGGTCCAGATTTATTATTCATATATCTGTCGGGTCGCTAACATTATATGATCAGCGACACGGCAGATTCGCAAATTTCGATTTTTACGCGTAAAATGTGACTGACTTTAAAAAAAATCCGTGTAAGTAGACCTCCCAGTGCTACTGACTGCCTAATAATAATGCATGATCAGCATATACTGAATTTTAAAGGTGTGCATCACTACTATTTCATTAATAATGCCGACCCGAGTCGCATGTTTTAAATAGCAAAAAATGTAAACAGAAAATGGTAAGTATACGTTGTTATACTTAATCTTAATTTTTCTCGATGTTGCATATTGCAAAATGTAAATTATTACCTAGGTACTTACAATAGGTACGTTTATTATTTACTGTACATAGATCCTACTTACCTAAACATGAGAAAACTGACTGGTTGACTCACATATCAATGCACCGCTGAAACTAATAAAAGTATACCTAGTACCTACCTTGAGTTTTCGGTTTTTCTTGCATTCATCGTGTCATACGAGTTGCATAGTCCGACAGCTGATGTAACATTAGTACTTAGATGAATAAGTATTAACGTACCACGAACATACGTACTATTACGAAATATTTAGTATATAGTACGTAATATTTAATAACGTAACATCATTACCATCAGCCTAAATGTGGATCCACTGCTGGGACACAGGGCTGCCCCTAACAGAGGGGTTTGAGTAGTAGTCCACCACCACACACGTCCCAGTGCGGATTGACGGACGGAGTACTAGATAATCAGTACCTACTTCTTTAGATTTCCTTAGGTACCTTTTACTACACTCACAGGCAGACATTGGGTGATGCTATTTACTGTACCAACATCACTTAGCACGTAATAATAATAAAGTAAAGTAGGTAGTATTACTAGGTTATGATTACCTACTAATTAATTCTATTAGGTACGTTTATATAAATAGATAATAATACCTTTAACCTACCTTACATTCAACAATAATATTATTATTATCAGCAAATCACTAATCCATGCATAACCTCTATATATTCTACTACCAACTAACATCAAAGGATTCAATTTGTTTTCTCACAACACCTAACTACAGTAGGAGCAGACTTAACAAAGGCGTGTAACGTGCTAAGTGATACAGACACTCGCACGCGGACGTAAGGTGCATTCTGATTTAATACGCGGGCCGCATTAATTTTATTTTTCGACGATTTAATCGGTAGGCTAATTTCACGAAGGTCGATTCAGAGGCGTGCAAAGTATAATGGTAGGTAATGTTCTTATGAACATCAGCGACGTTGTAACTGGATTTAAACTCTTAAGTTTGCCATTGTGATCCTTCTGTTCTCGTACTATTAGATTTATTTTGTGGTGATACTATAACTTTGTCTTTCTAAAGCTTGCACGAAATGTCGACGTAGAACTCTCTTTTTAATTTTAAACTTAGTATTTCTAGATGGTACCACCCTACTTAATTTTCCTGTTATTGTATTGTCTGTCATCTACAATGGGACTACTATTATTTATCCCATGCAGGATTCGGGCCTCGGGGACTTCCCCATTACCCGGGTAATCCTCACAGCCCATATCTATGGGCCGGTCTTGGGAGCCGTACGTTTGTACGACACTGTCGGTTATCTTCTTTGGCGTATTGCGCGCCACCAGGTAGGTGCTACCGGAGGGTCAGCCGTCTCGAAGCCCCGCGGAGTCCCGAGGTAAGGAGTCGACGCAGGGCCAATCTTGCCGACAGGAGTGCGCTCCTGACAGCAGCACTCCGGGCCTCCAGTGCTCCTTTCTGGCTCTAGGTAATGACCTGATATCCCTA